AGCTCTGCTCAGAAGAAAAGTGCATCAATGGTACTAATATGTGCCCAGAAGGAATGAATTCTCAACACAAGTCAGAAGTATGGTCCATTCCAGGAGTTGCCAAAATTCCTTTCTGCACTCTCAGCACTACTCTTTCCTTAATATCTCCTCTTCATTCTCCCCCTATATCCCCACTCCATCCTGCTACCTATCCTGCGAAAGTCCATCTTAAAATTACTAGTAACTTTCAGAGACCTATAACTTAGCACTAGATGTTCCTTCAGGCATCATCCAGTTATAAGGACCTGCACCCTTGTCCACAAACTGCACTTTATATAGCTGCAGACCCAGAAGACCAAAGCCAGTCTAAGAGTAAGTTGCACTGCTTGATAAAGCCACATCCCAGAACCTGCAAGAAGACAGTGTTTCTGGTCCCCAGCTCTTCTGAGAGCCCTTTATGGTCCAGTTTGTCCCTGTCCCACAGACAAATGCAGCTTGGCCCTCAAAACTTCTAGGTGTGACCTAAACTGAATCTGCAGTGTATCACAGACAAACAGCAAACACAGCAGCAGCTCTCTGCACAACCTAGGTTAGAAGAATGGAGTGTTTGGATTTTTTTTCCACTACATGATCCTGCACAGAAGCAGTCTTTAGCTGCTTTGCACTTTTATTTTTTCAAACTGAATATAGATGTACCTAACCAGAGAATTATTAAGCCTCAAGACTCCACAGATATGAGCAAGAGAATGCCAGGAAAGCCAGGCCACTCATGCAGAGGAAACATAAGCACAAGCTGAAAGGTTTTGTCCATCCAGAAGAAAGTGCAATAAAAGCAACAAGAACCCCATTGGTGAGAGCAACCTTCCCAGACCAGTGCATTCTTCACTTGAAGGCTGCACAGGAAGCAGTTCCTACAGTGGTGTTGAGGTTTTTGGAATGCTGGAAGGAACAAGACAGACCCAACAATGGAGACCGGGTCCATGCCAGGCCTGCTGAGGATTGCAGAAGTCTCCATTGCTCCACTTCATATTTTGTTCACAGAGAAGATAAGGTTTCTCCTCTAGCACCAGAACTCCAAGCACCAACATGTTCTGATGAAACCTCTGCCTCACTCTGCAGTGCGGCAGCCACAAGTTCTGCAAAGCCCCTCTTGACAACCACACAGAATCAGCTGCAGAGACCAAACAGCTCATTAGCACAATCGTGGCAGCAGCCATGCTCCTCCATCTCAGGCCCAGTCCTGAGACCTCTAGGAGCACAGGCAAAGACTGCCATGGCAAGGTGGCAAAACAAATAGGATTGAAAACCCTCTACCCTGGTAGAGGGTCAGGCAAGACAGACCCAGCAGGACATCAGGGGTGAGCAGTAGCTTTGGGGCCCAGCCACCCCCCAGACTGACTGTGCACCCAGGCACCACAGGCACTCACTGCAGCAGATTCCAACAGCACTTCCTCCTCCTCTGCGTGGCCAGTCCGTTTGCAGGTTAAACACACAAACTCATACTCTAGGTGCCTCCACACAGAAATGTGACTTCTAGGACCAGCTCCATCAGACAGTTTGGAGGGCTGGGGAGGGGAAAGGGTTGATATTCCAGCAATTGCTTTCCAGGACTCAGGTAGGATTACAGAATCATACAATGGTTTGGGTTGGAAAGGACCTTAAAGATCATCCAGTTCCAACCCCCCTGCATGGGCAGGGACACCTCTCACCAGCCCAGGTTGCTCCAAGCCCCATCCAACCTGCCCTTGAACACTTCCAGGGATGGGGCTTCCACAGCTTCTCTGGGCAACCTGTTCCAGCATCTCACCACCCTCAAGAGTGAATAATTTATTCCTAATGTCTAACCTAAATCTCCCCTTTTCCAGTTTTAATCCATTACCCCTTGCCCTCTTACTCCCTGCCCTTGTCACAAGACCCTTCTCACAAGCCCCTTCTCCCAGCCTTCCTAGAACCTTTTCAGGCACTGGAAGGTCTACTCAGACTCTTCTCTTTTCCAGGCTGAACATCCCCAACTCTCTCAGCCTGTCTTCATAGGAGAGCTGCTCCAGTCTGGACTTGCTTCAGGAGCTCCATGTCTTTCTTATGCTGGGGGCTGCAGAACTGGACACAGTGCACCAGGTGAATCTTCTTATCTACAAGCACATAGAGCTTACCTCTGGGGAACCACAAGGCAGACCTGGTCAGCTTGGAGACACAGCACTAGACTCAAAGCAAGCCTTAAGTAACCAGCCAGACACCATCTGTTTAATTTCTCTGAACTTTATTGGCACTTTAGGAAGAACAAGGTATGGATTTAAACAACTCCTCCAAATGGGAAAAAAAATGCCTTAATATCAAGGTTCTCTCTGCAGGTAAGCACATGGACCCATGAATTACTCCACAACCTTACAGAACTGATGTTCTATTATAATCCAGTAAAAAGACTGGTCAAAAAACCTCAATATAATTTACAGCAACAAAAAAATAAAACAAGAAACAAGCCAGGCAAACATGTGATAAAGTACTTCCCTCCCCACAATGCCAAGAGGAGCAGCCATCCAATTCAACTGGAACATGGAGAGGAAGAAGAAAAATTCACTGTATTCTAATAGATAAAAAAACCAAACATGTCTACAAATCTCACCTTAATACTGAAAGCTTCTTACATTAGTTTTCTTGCAAAATATCATTTCTTTACAATACAGTATACATTTCCAAGAGAAGGAGGACCATAACCACATCCTCCACCCCATGACTAATATTTTCTAATTGTGCATAGCTAGAAGTATTGAAATCAAATATCATTAAATACCACTGGAATATAATACTGGTTAAGAAGAAGGCAGGGCTGAAACAACTACAAAGAGTTAGGCGGAGTCACTGGCACAAGCCGCTCTATTCCTATATTGGACCTTTTGCAATTAGAACGATTAAAAAAACCCTATAAACAGCAGTCATGCCAGCATCATAACACATGAGCTCAGCAGTGTTGTGTGACCCATCAGAGCAGGAAAGGCTTACTGGTTTATTATTTGAACGCATATTCCAGACACCATACGTCAGCTTGTTAGGAAATTATTGAAGTGTAAGAATGGCTTTTCTCCCCCCAAATGCATCAATTGTTGCCATGGACAGAGCAGAATTGCTGAGAACCAGCTTTAAAGCACCAAAACAGAAGTGTAAAGGGTGTCCTGTTCCCCCAGTAATGAGACTCCTGTGGAGCCAGTGCCAATAACCCTTCGGTATAGAAACAGGCAAATCAGTCCTGATCCATTTAGCCACTATCTTTCATTTGGGATTTTAAAAGCACTGAGGTGTGTTGTTTTGGCCAACCAAAAACTCACCATGTGGTGTCCCCTCCAGAAGCAAGCTGTGTCCAGGGGAGAAAAGGTGACTTACCTGGGTATTTGGAAGCAACACACACTAAGCTATGCTTCAAACAGAGGTTGGTTGGTATTTGTGTCTATCTCCACACAGACATGTATTGCTTCCAAAAAAATAATACAGCACTGATAAGGTTGTTTCTAGAAACCCAAGAAATTCCTGGGAAAATACTGCAGTTTGTTAATACTATCACCAATATTTCTTTTTGGCACAGTCCCCCTTTGCCTTTCCCATTAGGCAGGGAGCTGACAATGCTCTAGCATTCAAATAGCTTCCTTCTACCACCACTAGCAGTAATACCATTCAAAGGGGGAACCCACAAAACTGAGAAAGTCACAAGATTTAGGATCATGCTAGGCAAGAAAATAAATCACAGGCTAGCCTGATTACTTCCTATAGGGGAAGACTGATCCAAGGAAAGCAAAGCAGAGGGGCACTCCATTGGAGGTAAAATCCATTTTTATGAGGCCTCTTCTGAATGTTAACATTTCCTTCTATGAAGGATCAAGGCAAAATCCAATTAACCCTGAGCATACATGGCTGCTTTCTCCCCAGAAATGGCAGGAAGGATTCTGGGTAGCTACAGCATGGATAGGTTGGAAGACAGGAGGTGATGGGTATCACAACAATTGGAAGAAATGGCCCTCAGGACCGTTCTCACAACCACTACTGTTCCATTTATGAGAGACAGAGCCTTCTGTTCCCAAAGTTAAAGGGGCAGAGCATCCACCTGGGGAAGGAAAAGCACTTAACCCAGGGATCTGGCAGAATATTAGTGAGGATTAAGGCAGCAGTTGGACAAATACCTCAGGATTCTCTTCTCTCAAGTGCTGCTTGAAGCCAGGAAGACAGATGTGGTCTGATACCCAGGTACAAGAGTAGTTTTTGGTCCCCAGCTGCTGATCACTTTTAACGATTGTATCTAGTATAAACTAAAGACATCTGAGCTACAGTAGATCTGTACACAGTCATAAGGCACCAATCACTATGAGCTAAAAAGGCCTCTTATGGAAAAACCTGAAATCCTATTCACACAACTAGAAATGTACTGGTTCAGGAAGGAAAGAGAGAGCGACAGGAATTTTTAGTCTTTTACATGTCTGCCTTCCCCTTTAGGTTTCCATTAGCAAGCTCAAAAACAAAGCCAGTGTTCTTTAGCTATCTCTGCCTCACTGGTTACATTCAAGTCAGAAAAATGACAGCCATGCCATGAGCAAAGCCATTTACCAGAGACAAAACTTCTGGAAAGCAGGGAAGTTGAGGCTCCAAACTGCACAGCATCAGTGGGAATATTCCAAAGGCCTCTTCATGATTATAAAATTCAAAGTTAAATCCAGTTGAACAACTAAAGGTTATATCAGCAGGCACACTACAGCATC